ATATGCCTCCAGAGACTAGATGGTCCAAATCATTATGTGGGCAACACTGTAATGTGATATCATTAAATATGCATAAATAATATAACGTGAACAATATTGGATACTTGGATGTGGAAAACAACTGATATTGTACCATATATTCATTGTGATTTAGGCAATACCATGCCAAGTGATCTAAGTGAATATGCAGAATTGCTGTAATTGAGTAGCTAATATGGGGTTATTACGAGGATACCGAAAAGTATACACGAAAACAGTACAGCAGGAGTATCGACCAACGTGCAGCGGTGGTTGATGCGATCGTGTACTGTCTGTCAGTACCACGTACTAACAGACGTATAATAATAATAAATGCATGCAGATATATTAATATACTAACCTCTCGTAAGCTTTGAATAGTTCGGGACAACATTTTCTTCAAATGCACTGATAAAATATTGCAGGACTCTTTTTTTTTCCTCTTCCTTAAACATGTTGATATATTCCTTCAGTGGTGGTACAGCATCAAGGCTAAAAATAAAGCCTGAGGTGCTCAAGCCTTCATGTTGAAACTCCTGTTAAATACAGCAATATTTTAAATATAAGTTTTAAAACTTGTAGACAGAGAGTTGAATATCAATTTTTATGTTTACAAATGGTATAGCATAGTGATTTATTTAGCTGTACTTTGTTTTTACCGCATCAATTTGTAAACATGAGTATTACCTTCAGAGCAACATCAACAGCACCAAGATGTTGACCAACTAAGTAAAACAAATCAAATGTTATATCTACAGTGCTGAGAGTTTCACCAGGTACATATCCAAGCAATAACACCATGTGATCAAAAGTACCTGGAAGAGCCAAATACAAGTTGAATATCAATATAAATAGCTGAAGAATTAGACTGTTCTCGGGCCTAATAAAGAGTCACTTATTTTCAAACTTTTTAACGAAATGCCGAAGACATTTCAAGCGGCGGCCGTAAGGCACGAGAGACTGCGGCATTATGTGGAAATTGCCCTGTGACGTTCCTGTTGAGACTTGTCACTCAAACTACAGTACAGTTCTCGCGAACGCTTTGGCTTTTGTGGCATCATTGTCATCTACGCATGGCTTCATTGTTGCCTCCTGCAGCATCGCATCGCATCATCACATGTACAGAAGTTCGATATGTAATCGATTTGAAATTCAAAACGGTAAGGGGAATAAAATAATATGATCAAGAGTAAAATGACATTTTAAAAAAATATCTTGTTTAATTATTTTAGTGTTGCGAGTATTGGGTACCAAAAACTTTGTGAAGTACATTACAATCGGCAAGGTGATGAGTGTCATATTGACTGCAAGGAAAATCGTGATAAATTTAAATAACACGATACAATCGTTGTTCTACTACTTTCTAGTTAATGGTGACCCATTTCGCTCATGATTGACTGATCGGTATATAATGTGGTTTGAGTGACAAGTCTCAGCAGGAACGTCACCGGGCAATTTCCACTTAAAGTCGCATGAGGGCATTACATGCTATAACAGTCTCTCAGGCCTTACGACCCGCGCTTGAAATACCTTTGACATTACGTTAAGGGCTTACGACATTTGAAAATAAGTGACTCTTTATTAAGCCTGAGAACTGTCGACAGTCTACTGAGGAATGTGAACACACAGACTAGGGAGATTGAGGGGGCTATTGTGATTTCTGTTTACCTTTTTCTCCGTTAATGTTTTGCAGACTGGCATATTCACCATTCAACTGCAACAAAGGATGGGGACACTTCAATCCCTTTTCATTCAGGAAAATCATCATTCTAATTTGTGCATCAAGGAAGCAAACGTCCTGTGAATGATGTGCATTCACAATCTTCAAAACATACTCTTTCTTATCTCCATTCTCCGGTATGACAGTAATGTAGAAATTCTGATCAAAGTAGCTGTCTAGTTGTTTTATGGTATCCACGATAATGTTGTACAACTGTTTGACTAAACCAGAAGCATATTCACAAGTCAATGAAGGTTTGATAAAACGGTCTAGATCCAAGTTGAATTGTTTTGGTGTTGCCGCCATTCTGCTAATAAATCAGATAAAATGACTTAGATTAATACATGTATACTTGTATACATGCATTGAGCAATTGAGAAGTCATAATATATCATAATATAATTTTTGAAAATCACATTATTCAATAGAATTACCTAATTATATAAATACACATCTAACCCATGAGAGAACCAATGTCTTTTCTATGCAATGTCAGTTTTAGTATTTTATACTTCTATTTTGTCCTATTAATGTTTTACTTTTATTTAGTTAGTTTTATCATTTTAGTCTTTTGTCATTGTTACTTTTACCATACTAAACCCCCTGATGGTTTTGGTTGTGTAATAAAGTTATTATTATTATTATTATTATACAAGTCATGAATGACTTGTATATGACTTGTATATCAAGTTTTTATTACCATACATTAATATTAACAAATCATGTGAAATTTTATGTACAGAGAAACACATATTTATGCTTTGGTTGACAGAACTTCTCAAAGTAAAAAAAGAGGACCTGCGAAACTTTATACAATTGTCAGACATGCAGTGAATAGTACCAGTATGTTTTTGTAATACATGCAGTTCCAGTGGCTTTGCTTTCTGAGAAAAAAAATCTGGCTTTGCACCTAAAAAAAAC